TAAATGAAAGGTGTTTTGCCAACTCCACATTGCAAAACTCTTGTTGCCCCTTTCAACCACCTTTCCGACACATTAAATCCACATACACTACTTTTACTAAAATTAATCTTCAGTCCAGACATTAACTCAAACCACCTCAAAATAGATTTCACCATAAAAATATTCAAACTATCAGCTCTTCCCATAATTACTATATCATCAGCAAATTGGAGTAAAGACACATCCAACCCCCTTGTACCAATTGGTATCCCATGTAACATACCCTCAGTCTCTGCCTTATTTACCAAACCATGTAACCCTTCACCAATCATCAAGAATAGAAACGGAGATAGCGGATCCCCTTGTCGTAATCTTTTCCCCATCTTAAACTCCTCCGTTGGGCTCTCGTTCACCGGAATCGATACCCTTGCTGTCGAGAGACATTCTTTTATTCCTCGCCACTTAGTGCCAAAGCCAAAACTACCCATCATCTAGTCTAAAAATGCCCAATCTACACAATCATAAGCTTTTTCAAAATCTGCTTTGAACACAAAAGCTTGTCTCTTCATCTTCTTCACCTCGTCCACTACTTCATTTACAACTAAGACGCTATCAACCAATTGCCGACCCCTTAAGAATGCTGATTGAGTATCACTTATTATCTCTGGCATAACCGTCTTTAGTCTATGAGATATTACCTTAGCCAACAGTTTATACACACACCCAATCAAACTTATAGGTCTATAGTCCTTCAATTCCGTAGGACTCAACTTCTTTGGAATTAGAGTTAAAAAAGAAGAGTTCAGCCCTCCCACTAACTTGCCATTCTGATGAAATTCCTTAAAAAAGCTCACAAAGTCCTCCTTTATGCTATGCCAAACACACTTGAGGAAGTTAAAGTTGTACCCATCTGGCCCTGGAGCTTTAGTTCCTTCATAGCTCCTCAAACCTTCTTCAATCTCCTCCACTGAAAATGGTCTTTCTAACCACTCTTTCCTCTCTTGAGAAATCTGCTTAAAGTTTATTCCAGAAGGCCTAAGGCGTTTTCAGTCTTCTCCTTGAAACAGCTTCCGAAAGTATGTTTTTGCTTTTTTTTTTTACCAAAGTTGGCTCTTCCACCCATCTACCATCACACATCAGACCTGAAATGCTATTTTGAGCCCTTCTACCATTTGCCACTCTATGGAAAAATCTTGTATTTGCATCACCCAGCTACACCCAATTGCTTCTTGATTTTTGCTTCCATTTGGCTTCCCTCTTCCTCATGACTGCCCACATCTCTTGAAATCCCTCATGTCTATCTTCCAGCTCAAAATCTTCCAACTCACCCTCCTTGTTCTTCATATCAACATGCTCCACCTTTTTAGCTGCTTTGTTGAATTGGGCTTCCATATCCCTAAACACTTAACGATCCTAGCCTTTTAAGAACTCTTTCAACATTTTTAGCTTCTGTTTACATCTATATCCTGCAAACCCATCCACCTAAAGCTCATTCCACTTATCTTCTACTGCTTTCTTGAATTCTGGATGCTGTTGCCAGGCATCCAAAACCCGAAACGGTTTAGGCCCCCAATCTGTTATCTTTGTCTTTATAATTATGGCACAATGGTCTGATATAGTTCTTCTTAACCCATGTTGCACCCATTTGCCACCCATATTAAACATCTCTTTAGTCATCAACACTCTATCCAACCTACTCATGGAAGAACCGTCCGATGTATATACCATGTGAACCAACGATTTGCCAACCTGATATCAAACAACCTTGTTGTCTCAATAAAAGCATTGAAATCCCTCATCTCGACATTCTCCCCTATTCTTCCTCTTTTTTCATCAAGGTACCTTACAGTATTAAAGTCCCCCGCAAGCAACCATCTCCCTCCTTTTTCTAAAATTACTTTCTATAGCTCTTCCCACACCTCCACCTTCTTCCTTTTGTCATTCGGAGCATACACATTCACAAAACAACATTTTAACTTTTTCACGACCCATTTCCCTGACATCCCTAAAAAGCCATCACCCACAAATTCTTCCTTTTTTGTAAACTTTAACTTATCCCAAACACACACCATACCTCCCGAAGCTCCTGTTGACGCCTTCATGACCCAATCGAAGCTATTTGAATTCCACAACATTCTACATAGACTACCATCTGCCTTCTCTAATTTAGTCTCCTGCAAAAATAGGAAATCTGGCCGTTCTGCTTTTACCAGCTTCCCCATCTCTTTCTTCTTCAATAGTCCCCCCAAACCCCTAACATTAAAAGATAAAATCTTCATTCAAAAAGAAGAAACCCGCAACCCCAATCAGATCGCACCTCCCTACTTCCTTCCTAAATTTCGCCCCCTCTCCTTATCCCTTTCTTCCAACACTAACAACCTAGACTCAATCTCCTCTTCATTGCCTTTAATTTCAATACCTAGCTCTTTCCCCACTCTAATTATCTTCCTCACCTCATGCAAAAGCAATTCTTTTTGAATTACCTGATTCCTGTGCGCAATACATGCATCTGAAATAAAGACATTGCCAACTCGCTCCATCTTCTTCGCTTCAGCCTTTTGAGCCACCTCTCTTCTTCCTTGCCGATTCTTCGTTCTAGCGGTCACCAATTCCCCTTGTTTCGTGTAGGTTTCTTCTAGCTTTTTTGGGTAACAATCTTCTATTTTCTTATGCCTTTTACCTGTTAAGTCCCTTTTACCCATCTCTCGGACAGAAGCTAGCTGGCTTCCATTATCCGTATTTGTCTTATTCCCTGTACTACACCCACCCGTGCCATTTGGATTTGATAAGAGCCCATCGCTCTCCTCCAGCCCACCTCGTCTCTCCACTAACGGCCCAAAATCCATACCTGAACCGTTACCATCACCGACCTGAGCCATGAGCATGCCTTTCAAATTACACCTAACGTCTCCCTCATTTTCACTCGTTTCTTTTAGATTCAAAAAACCTTCCTTCCTTGATTGCATATCATCAATACTATCCCCTTCATAGCTGTAAATCTCGACATTAATTCATTCATGATTCGCATCACTGCTTTGGCTTGCCGAAATTCCGATTCATAGACCCTCTCGCTCCATTGGTCACAGTTCGAGAGCCACCAATCGGGGTCCGTTCGCCATTCTTCCTCAACCACCCCCACCTCAAATTGCTGTTCATTCACTTTCAATGTAATGGACTTTGATATCTTGCTGGCTTCTAACAGAATTATTGTTCCTTACTTAATTACTTAACGTCAGTTTATAATATTTTGTTAGTTTTATTAGTTCTATTAGCTGATTGTTAGTTCTATTAGCTGATTATTAATATTATGTTAATAGAACTAACAAATAAAATTGAATTTAAATTTTATATTTTTTATAATAAAATGTTAACAGTAAATTAATAAATCTAATAATCAACTAATATAACTAATAGAATGTTATAATCTGACATTAAATAAAGATTATTTTTTTTAATTTATATAAATAAAGAATTAAAATTATCATAATATAAATTAAAAAATTAAAATTTATAAATTTATTCATATAAAAAACTACAAGTAAATTTTTACCCAATAACTCCACGTGCCATGTCACTTCCGTCAGTAGAAAGATGATTATGGTATTAGAAATCGAAGTTTGAAAATAGTTTTAAAA